AGACATTCCTTGTTGGGAAAGCCTCTGTTTATCTGGACCCTCACTCTGTGAGGTGTTCAGTCTTTGGAAAGCCTCTGTCTCTCTGGATCACCACTCTGTGAGGCATTCCTTGTCCAGAAAGACTGTATATCTGGACTGTCAGTCTGTGAGTCTTTCCTTGCCTGGAAAGCCTGTTTGTGCAAGGTAATTCACTGGTTGTCTGGAAGGGAGGGAAAAAAGGGCAGGTACTTGTGTCTGCTGCCTTCCATCACTGTAGATCAGCAGGAACAGCTTGAAATCCAGATTCTTGCTACTGCCTCTGCAAACTGAAAACAATTGTTTCTGCAAGAAATCTTCTCTCCAGGGAATTTATTTATTTTTATTATTATTATTATCCAGCCTGCAGTGGGAAAGATTAATTTCAAGTAGAAGGGAATGTTCCGGTAAGGCTTGCTGCTACCTCAGCTTTAAACCTAAGTGTCTCTGAGGAGTAGGATAGTCATGGAATCCCTCATAAAGGAGGATGATTTTGGCAGTGCAAAGCCCCCTTGGTTGTGGCCCGGGTGCTACCAAAAGGTCCCAGTGCTGAGAAAGAGATGGTTGAGGGGAGACCCATCAGATCTGTGGCAAAGCAACTCTGGGCACGGGGATTATTCGGAATTACAGCTGAGCTGTTGCAGTCAGTAACTGCAGAGGAAGATGGTAAAGCCCGTGTGGAAAAACCCCAATTGCGGAAATGAATCCAAAGCTCTTGATTTATTATTCTTTCAGTGCTAGTAATCAAAGCCATTATAATAAGCAATATGTACATTTTATATATTTAATGACACTGGCCATCAGAATTTCTTGATAACTCAAGGCCAGGCTCGATGGGGCTTTGAGCAACCTGGCCTAGGAAAAGGTGTCCCTGCCCATGGCAAAGGGGTTGGAATTTTAAGGTCCCTTCCAACCAAAACCATTCTGTGGTTCTATGGTTCTGTGATTCTATGGTTCTATGATTCTATGCTTCTCTGGTTTTATGCTTCTATGAATCCAGTCTCTTCTGTGAGTGTCCATCAAGCTGTCCCTTCAAAGAACTGAATGCCTGCAAAGATATCAAGTTTTTCCCACCCTGTCAATGTTAGTGATGGCAGCGTTGAAGGGAAGGGAAGCTCTTGACTGGGTTCATAAGGTTCAAGTTTCCAAGGAGCTTCCATGTTCAATTAGAGCAGCTGTTTGCCTGTGGCTTGATGGAGAAAGGCAGAAAGAAGGGGGATCAACTATATCCAGCTAAGGGATACAGCAATTGGTCTGGTCAACTACAGCACTGTAAAACACTTGTAAAAATTCCAATCAGGGCCACTTGGGTACCTGCTTTCGTCTGTGGGTGGTGGCTGTATAGTCATGTAGGACAGTAGCTGGTAAGGAAATCCTTGGCATCTTGGAGTCCCCTGAAACATCAGTTTGTGGGGAGCTGCAGGGAAAGATGCAACACACACGACTGAAAATGAGTGCAGCAACAAACTGTATCAAGCTTTTTGAGCAAAAGGCACAAATAACAAGCAATGACAAAGAATAGAACAGTTGCTTGTAGAACAAGAAAAGCCATCTGAACTAAATTGTCCAGCCAGGCAAGTGGACATCAGGGAGGAAAGGCTGTGTTCCTAAACACAGCTTGGTTGCAAAAGCATTTGTGTGTTGTAGAAAAAATAATGCCAAGTTAATAAGGCCCACGCAACCTGAAATCCATGGGGCATCAGTGGTTGCAAACCTGGTCCTGTCAAAGGCATTTGCAAAAGTCTTGGATTGTTTATTGAAATCTAGATGTCACTGCTGGCTGCTCACAGGCCTTATAGCCACGTTAAGGATAAACTGGTGACAGAGCAAGTGTCCTCTGTGTGTGTGCATCTCTGTCTGCCTAAGTTAGGACAACGTGAGGCCTATCCAGCAGAAGTTGAAAGAAAACTGGAATGACTTCTTCTAGAACACACTTCCTACTTGTGCCACCTTTCTTTGTTTTTCCATTCCAGTGGGCACCTTGTTCTTTTAAGGCAGTTGATTTAGCAACCAAAGTTATGGTTTTCATGATTCTGAGGAGGGAAGAAATATGAAATGTTTATTTGCTTTCAGATCCATACTCTCCTCTTAGTGTGTGTGTCTGTCCCTTAGGCTTTCCAGCTGCAGGCTGAGGGGGAGGTGTGATAGGATTCCCATCTGTAGTGGCCTGTGTCTTTCTGTGGCTTGCACTATTGTTATCCGATGGTCCCTTCCCTGCTGAATATCTGTTTTTTCTCTTCTAGGGAAGCTGACTCAGATTGGAGTCACTCATAATGGAACCCCCAGACAAGGGGAAGAACGACGAGAGGTAGGAATTTGTTGGGTGTAATCTTAACCTCCCAGGTGCTGTGACAAGTGTCGAGATGGTTTCAAAAAACTAATCCCCTCCTAAATGCAAGAAATATAATCCCTGAGGGAGAGAAGTAAGTCAGGATTGTCATGTCCCTGAGAGTGGCTTCAGAGCATGCTGGTATTTTCATAGCTTCTGTGACAGACCCGAGCCTGGGTGACATCCTGCTCTTCCAACCCGCTTAGGTACAGAGTGTGCCTCTATCCCTAAATGAGGGGAGGATTTTAAGTTCCAAAGTACCCAAAAGTGAGATTAAGACAGAAACCAGGTCAAATGTTGGAATCCAAAACGATAACTCAACTGGATTAAGTCCAAGAGAGGCAGAGAGAGAAAAAGGAAAAACAGAAGGAAGTGGGAAAAGCTAGGAATAATGACAGGAAGCCTGGAAAAGTTTACCACCACCATG